GTTTATCCAAACCCCCTACAACTTTTTGGTTAGTGTTGTTTAATGTGTCCCTGATACCTACCACAAAAAGCTACAACTTCCCTATTGAAAAAGGTCCATAATTTTGCTGTATTCTTTTCCTTAGAATCTTTTGAAAACTATCGAACTCTTAACTTTTTTAAGTAGTTTACTTTTTCCCTTAAGTATCCAGTTTAAGTTCATATTCATTTTGACTGAGTCCACAAAGGCAGATGCTGTAGAAAGCATCATAAAGCACCATGTGTAAGAAAAATAACATGTTAAATGTATTAAGTGCTGGCCCTGAGCCAAGCCCTGTTGTAGGCAATTTGCATGTATTAAATCATTTAATCCTCACAATCACCATATGAGAAGGGTACTTTCATCATTCCATTTTACAGATGAGCAAAATGAGATCCAGAGAGATTAGCAGTAGTGCCAGAATTGAACCCTGTCTGGCACTAACCATGACAAATCACTGACTTAATAGTATACTCAGGAGCCTCATTTAGTGTCAAAGTGAAATTTACAAGGACTTTCCCTGGCCTAAAACACAGCAGCTAATCTTGAACCGAAATAAAAACATTATATGCTTTATTCCCTCCCTTTGCTTCCCAAGATGATATTGTTAAAAAACAAAAACAAAAGAATTTACAATGAATATGAAGGAGGTTCAAGTTTCAAAAGAGAAACCCAATTTCCTTGTTGCTATGATTTGGGATATGAGGGGGGATCAAGATTGATTATGTATATGCATACTTAGGAAACTTAACAAACACTGAGTATTTTAAAAAACACCAGGTGCCTGTGTCTCACACCTGTAATCTCAACTACTGGGAAGGCAGAGATCAGGAAGATTGAGGTTCAAGAGCCCCTAGCTCAAAAACACGCAACACAAAAAAGGGCTGGCAGAGTTGCAAGTGGTAAAGTACCTGCCTAGCAAGAGTGAGACCCTGAGTTCAAATCCTAGTACTGAAAACAAAGTCTTCAGGAACCTTGAGCTGCAATGTAAATTGGACCACATAAATCTAAACCATACAGGTTTTAACTTAATTTTTGTTTTATGAGGATTGAACCCAGGGCCTCATTTATACTAGGCAAACACTAAAAAACTGAGCTCTATCACCAGCCCAAACCCTACAGTTTTAAAAGGAGGATGCTATTACCCAAATGCTAAACGGTTTGTCAAGGTGATACAGTTTATTGGTAGATCTTCTAATTTTTGGCTGCAGAATACTTTTACCACTCTCATGCTTGAAATTTAAGAAAAAGCTTATAGGTGACAAGAATGTCAGATACCACCCATTCAGTGTTTCAAAAGTTTGTTTGTAAATATATTGTGGATTTCTATGAAAACTGCATTCTAAGTTCCAGGCCAAGACCCAAAAGCCCTCATAGTTCTCTGACAGCCTCAATTCAACTTCATGTCTTACCTAAATTTCATACATACATCACTTTTTATGACAAAACCCACACAAACTATAAGTTGTCTTAGGTCCCTGAAAAGAGGCTTTCTTTGCCCCTCCAACCAGACAGATGTGTTGGGGTGGGGGAACAGATTAATACCTTAGATATTAGCAATTACTACATTTCTATTTAATATGGAGGCTAAATGTAGAAATCACACATAACCATGGCTATCAAAGAAAGAGAATTATTGGTTTCTCTGGCCCCCTCTCTGCATACTTCATTATAACTTCCTGACTTTGAGAGCGCTATATGTATCTGTCTGCCTACCGGGACTTTAGAACCACCCAATCACCAAGAGTTATTCAGTTCATGAAAAATGCTTCACATGACATGATTAAAAATTCAAATACTTTCATATTTTATTTTATAGATCTTATAGCATTAAATATTTATAGTTCAATCCCTAATGACATTTTATCATCTGCAATGAACCATTATGTTGAGTCATAATAAACTATAATGTTATCAAGACTATAAATAGTAAAATGATCAGTAAGGTAGTCAACATTTATTGGCATATCACATAAAAGTAAATCTAAATAATGAAAAGAAAAAAAAATTTAGGCCAATGGAAGTCTGAAGCAGTTCTAAGTTTAATTGACAAGTACCATCATGTAACACCCCCAAGGTAGCAATGGTAACATAGCCCCAGAAGATTACAATGGTTCCCTTAATTATGAAAGTGGCAATGTGAAGCCATCTGAATGCTGTGAGGCACTGAGCACATTAACTGTTGCTCTTGGCGACTGAGTCCCCATTTTCCTCACCCTGAAAGAACCTGTTATTTCTTGGGTACCAAAATGATCTGCTGAAGTCTAATACCACTTCCTGGCAGTATATAAAGCCTGACATCCCTGTATCTAAAGTTTTACTTCTTTTCTTCCTTTGTGTTTACAGCTATCTGTAAAGTCTGGCCAGGAAATGGTTATTTAATTCTTCAAACACAGCTAGTAAACTGGTGTTATGTTTCAGATTCCTCTTCCCCCTTCAGTACAGAAAGGGCACTACAGAACCATTTAACACAATTACAAGGAGTAATTTTCTCCCAGTACACTGAAGGTGTGAAGGCAACTTCCCAAAGTGACATACAATTCCATGGATATTTATGCCCTAGAATAACCTATATAACATCTACTTAATCTCTAAAAGAATAAAGATATGTTGTCCTCATTAGAATTAAGCAAGGTAACAAGTTACCTCTAAATTAAAAAACAGAAAGAAACAGAATATAGAGCGTCCTCAAAATATCTTAATATTTCAAAGGAGTCAGGTAAGGAGTTCGATTTACCAGATCGCTGGCATCATGCAGGGTATGAAAATCTATTTAAATAGATCTCTAACAAAATGGAAATTATTCAGTTTAAAAGTTGGCAATAACTGGACTTAAAAAAATTAGTTTAAGTGAATTTCAAATTTTTAAATTAAACTTACTTTGCTAATTTGTATAGATCAGAAAGCAAAGAAAACTGCAATTGTGGTTTAATACAGACTTAATTCAAATATTCAAAGTCATAAAGTTTTTATTAAACTCAATTTTAGCTGTTTCTTTAAGCTTACATTATGTCAGGACGGTTCACAGAATTACTTTGGCTTACTCAGCTTGTAAATGCAGGAATAATGCATATGATTTTCTTTCTGATTGAATACCAGCTGCCTCTACTTTCTTCTCTTATGGTTTTCATCACTACCCAGTTTCCCCTATCTCCCTCCAAAAATAATATACATTAGAATTAAGGTAAGATACTTAATCCCCCAGCCTACACTCTTCAGTGACAAATAAAGACACCGAATGCAGTACTTTCTTCTTATATAATAGTAGAGGGTAAAGACTGCACAGAATGCACTGTGGTCAAAACAGTTTCTATTTTCAACTATGAAAGATTACCAGTTTAAAAGCTTCCTCTCTTTAAACACTGATAACAAATATAATGTATTTCTATGCCTGCTTTTACCTGAAGCAGGTAAAGCTCTTTACACAATCAATCATGTGTGTGCCTGTATGAAAAGGTTTTTCAATTTCTAATGCATCAGAGAAACTAAATTTGCCTTTACCTTTTTTTTTCGGGGGAAGAGGGAGGGGAGGTCTTAAAAATCGGACTCAGGACTTTACTCTGCGCTAAACCAAGTACTCTACCAGCAAGTACTCTACCATTGAGCTACATCTCCTCCCCCTAGCCGGTTTCTGCTTTTACCTTCTAATCTGGACATCCAATCAAATAAGCAAGAGGTAAACTCTGCTGTAATATGATATTGTTACATAATAAAAGTTGCCTGCTGGCATTTAAAAACACCTCCCAATATCCTCTACAGCGCTACTGTACACAAATTAAACCTCTAAATTAGAAGGTTCACTGATTATGCACATACCTGAAAAACAATGTAGCAACCAAAACACAAACTTTCATTTCCTTCCCTTGGGTCCTTAACTAAAAGGCTCTCGTCTTAAGCTTTTCAATGCCTTGCTCCACACAAATAGGGGTTGGAAGATTGATTAGACAATTATTTTGCTGAATCCGATACAAAATAATCAGGTGCAGAAGTTTTATAGTAAATGCAACCCCAAAAGCAAACTGTCAAATAAAAGTACACATAGTATGCTTTTCAACGTTTAGAAACACTTTTCATGTTTCATAGGCACCAGATATGAAGGTACTTCTATAGCAATATACTCCATTCAGAAAGAGAAATGTGCTAATTTCCCTTAAAAAAGAAAATTAAGCCCAATGTTAGAGAAGCATTTTCTGTCAAAATTTTACTTTTCTGTATCGAAAAATAATATTTGACAAAAAATGCACACTTAACCATTGTTGATTTCCTACATAAATATTTACCAATCTTTAAAAGTTGCAGGGTGTTTGGGATTTTGTTTTTAAGTCAAACTCAGTAACAAAGAGAAAGAACTGGAATGTCCACTAACAAATTACATCTTGAAATATACATGACTGTGGTGTCCCCGTGTTACTTCCAATGATAACTGACACACCCCGAATTTAACAGTACCAGACAGTTCTATCTGTCCCATCGCTGACCAAACACTGCTTCTCTGTTTCTATTCATTATGTATTATACCAAGTCTAAACACTGCCCAGTATGACTAGAGGGGTAAAATTACAATTCTTATGACAGCAAAGTGATGCATTCAAGGTCTCCTTTGCAGTACATCCTGGTCCATGAGCACTAACAGGCTTTTTTTTTTTTTTTTTTTTTGATAGAGCTAAAATATGTTGGCTGCAAGCTCATTACTCTTAGGAATCGTGGGTTCCCTGTTTCTGCAGGTTTTCAGAAAGCCCTAGTAAAAACCAAGTGCTATCCAAACCTTGCAAACCAAACTTGCACAAAGCCTTGTGCAATGATCAATAACCCTGGCTACACAGCACTCGGCCCCAAATTCACGGTTCTGGAAACCAATGCAGCAAAAACCCAGACTAAAGCTTAGCTGAAGCTCAAAGAAACTACCGCGGTTCCCCTCCGCCGCCCTCTGCCGCATGGAGAGGAGAGAAGCGATGGGAGGAGAGGAGTGGAACAAGGCTCACCAGCTCCGAAGATGCTCCGGTGACCTCCGGCTGCGCGGCGAGAACTGGGCCCGGAAGGCGCTAGTGCAGCCGCGGCGGGCCGTGAGGACTCTGCCCCTGGTGCATTCCTCGCATTCCTGCACAATCTGTCGCCAGCCAGGGAACTGGCAGCCTGCGTTCCCCCCAGGACACACACACCTGACTATTGCTGCGCCCCGAGCGGCCACGGCCGCCGCGGCGCCTCTACAGCCCGCGCTCACGATTTGTCGCACTCAGTCAACACTCAACCAAATCCCGGCCCCACCGCTCGCCCCTCGCTTCCCCGGTAGGGAAAAGGAGGGAGGGCTGGGCAGCGCAAGCGGCGGACAGGGACAGCCGATCCGCCAAGAGCTTGCTGCAGCTTCAACTCCTGGCAGCGAGAGGAGGAAGCGGAGGCGCACGCAGGAGGGCAGCGTGGAGACTTGATGCTGGGGAATCAGGAGGGTGGAGCGTGAGGATACGCCGCGAAGAGAGAGGGGCGCGCTGGCCGTACAGGGGTGGGCAGGACCCGCGGGAGTGAAGGGCCCAGAGGCAAACGCAAGACTGTGCGGTCAGTAGGGCGGTGAAAGAAAGAGTAGAGGGCCAGGACGCTGGTTCTGGGGCAGCAGGGACGGACAGACGGCTCCAAGGACTAAGGAAGGCGGGCGCCCCAGGGTGTTGGGGGCGCGGGGCGGCGGGCGGGAATGGGGGGTCATCGTCCAGGAGAGCTCCGCACTGGGCTTAAGTTAGGGAACAGGAGCTCTGGATCCGAAAAGCCCAACGTGGGGAGGGGTCGTGCGCAACGCAAACCGGAGACCCGAAGAGTAATCGCTGGGAAAAGCAAATGGAGGGTGAAACTTGTGCGCCTGCCGGAGGGGGGGGAGGGGAGCAAGCAGGCGAGTGCGGGCACGAACACGAGGCGGGGCAGGAAAGCCCAGGCGGCCGCGAGGCGGTGGGGACAGAGTAACGGGAGGTTCCCGTCCCCTCCGCCCGTAGGTCCCGGCTCCGGCGCGAGGGCCGGGGGTCACGGGCGCAGGAGTCTCCGCGCCCTCCCGCGAACCCTTACACTTACTTTCCAGGTTAGGCAGCGGCCGTCGTCGCTCCAGACATCAGGGACGTCCGCGCCGAGGGATAGCCGCTGCGGCACCCGAAAAAATTAAAAAAGTGCCGCTGCCCACCCCTCCCTCCCCCACCCGCCCCCTCCCCCGAAGAGGCTCTCCCACCACCCCGGTGGTGGCCGTGGCCAACTTGCCCCTCTACCCCGTGCCCATGGTGCCGCCTCCGCGGCCGGCGTCGATGAGGACTCAGCCCCGGAGCCCCCTCTACTGCCCAGAGGCCGCCGCCGCCACCCGCCCAGCCGCCAGCCCGCCTGCCCGGCCAGCCCCAGGCTCCCGGGAACGTCAGCACGCCGCCGTCCCCCGACAAGCTTCCCGCCAGCCCCATTGGTCGGAAGGAGAAGGCTGGCCCTCCCCATTGGCCCGGCCCTCATATTGAACGGACCAATGAGAACCGCGGTCTCAGGTCGCCATAGAGACCGATGCTGTTAAGAGCAGGAGGGCCTGGTGAAGGTGTGGAGTGAAGGAGAGGGTGTCTCCGGCCTCAGGCGCTGGAGGGGGTGGGGGAAAGAAGTTGTCGGGGATTCTTCAGCTCTGGCTGTGAAATCTAGGGCAGGTTTTGCTTTTTCTTATTATCAGTCCAACGGTGCATGGTTTCTCCCTGGCGTCAAAAGCAGCATCAGCTGAACCCCTAGATTTAGCCTTGATAGTGAAAGCCCAGGAGTGGGCGTTTCACTTTTCCTGCATCTGGGGATTCCGTGAGTTTGTATCTTTTGACCTTTGACATCTGTGCAGCTTCTCCTTCTCCAGGTGAGTTTGCACGCCATCCATTAAATTGCTGCTTCCTTCTGACATCCCTGAGCCACTTAAATTATATTTATGCTTGTTCTTCCCAACCACAACCCCTTCCCTGAGGCATATCTTGCCTCGGATTTTTGGATCATCAAACCTATAATCCTTTGCATGGTATTTTGTTAAGGAAACAGACTGATGGATTATATGATAGATGCCAAAAGATCAACCCATAACATAGTGTGGACCCTGCTTCCCAAAGCAAACCTCTTATTTCCACCATTGGTGGGTATTTCTTAAACAGCCCTGTGTGTGCATTCTGCAGTATGAACTTGCCCTTAAGAGGTTACAGTCTGGAGAAGCATACAGGTAACTGAGTCAATTCTTCATTCCTTCTGCTGGATGATTTTATAGAGAAGAAAAGAAATAGATTACAGTTGATGGATTTTGTTTTCTGACTACTTTCCAGGTTGTCTCTAAATTTGATAAAGGAATGGACTGAGGCATGGAATCAGTACTGAAATGGAAAACTTGATCTTGAATAATGTGTCCTCTACTTTCATTTAAAGTCACTCACTATGTGCTAGTTTGTCAATACTAATTAATTTTGATCAATGACTTTCATATTCAGATACCACCTATTAAAGTGGGGCTTCATGAATATATTAACCTTTTAAAACATGATGTTGCTCAAGCATACAGCCATTGATACTCTTATGTTCCTTTTGATGATTTTGCTATTTTTACACTAACCTCTTTAGTTAGAAAAAAACAAACTATGTTTACGTTACTGCCCCTCAAATTAGCAGGACCATATTGTGTGAAAAAACTGATAGGATTTTGGAAATTACAAATATTCTGTTGAGGGAAGCAGATTAATGTGTGTGCAAGCTACATATGTCTTAACTACTCTACTGAATTTTAAGTTGGATGATATGCTTTGCTATTGGTTTATAGCTTATTGAACTGAAGATTACAAAAAAAAAGGTAACCTAAGAAAAGAAATGTTTATATAGTAACTTGCTTGGAAAAATGTCACCACACATTTTGTAGTAAAATTTGAATTTAGTCGACAATGCTGTGCAAGGTTGGACTGTGGAACAAAACAGCTGAACATGTGAGTGTGCTCCCCAAACATTTTCAGAATTAAGAAGGGACCATCAAGGACCAGGAAGTGATATCTCATGCTTTGCCATTGTGTAAATAAGCTGCTTTTGACTTTTTCAGGCTTTTTTCCAATGTATGTTTTTTACAGGAGAATAGAAAAAGTAAAATGCAAAATTTTATGAAAAAGCCTTTTTTAGGCAATACTGGGGTTTGAACTCCGGGCTTCATACTTGCTAGGTGCTCTTCCATTGAGTATTTTCGAGATAGGTCTCAAGAACTATTTGCCCAGGCTGGCTTTGAACTGTGATCCTCCTGAGTAGCTAGGATTACAGGCATGAGCTACTGGCACAAGGCTAAGACATTTTTAATGTACTGTCAAGATACCAATAATGTGGTTTTAGAATTTTTTCAGTAATATTGAATGAATGGAAAATTTGTCTAATTGAAAGAAAAAAAGTGGGCATTTCCTTTTTCCTGCCTTGGACTAGCATGGAAAGCAAAAAAAGAGCTAGTTGATTTTTCACTATAATTTTTTCCTTTTATTGTTTTTCTCAGAACACATGTTTGGTTAATATTTTGATATTCTATATTTCATGTTTATAATGTTGCATGTAATTTTATGTCATTTTCATATCAGTAATTAAATTACTAAATTCAAACATGAATAATGCTTGTCCCCTAAAATTACAACCTAATTTTGTCTTGTGATGTTTATTGAAAGGGTTTCTTTTGAAGTTGCTTCTACACTACTAAGCATCACTGAATAACCTAAACTTCATTCCACTAGAAACTGATGCTATTCAGACTTGCTTGGGTCTTCTCTGATTTACCAAATTCCTTTCATCATCAGGAGAGTGATTATGTGGAACACTTACTCTGGGATATTCAGGGTTCTTCTCCCCAAATCTATTCCATTTCTGCTCTCCTGAAGTCCCAGCTGTACTTGGGCTTCCTTGAATTCTGCGAATAATCCTCCCTCATGCTCAACTGAGGGAATCTAACATGAGGTTCCTCAAATTTTCTTTCTTAAACTTCAGTCTCAATGTTCATGCATCTCCACCTCCTTCAGTTCTTACTGAGGAGTGTCAGTCTCTTCTTTCTTCTAAGCTCATACTCCAGCTGTTCTACTGACGTCAGAGTTTTGGACCCAAAGCCCAAACTCCTGATATTCCACATGTCAGTTCTGGTCACTTGCCACTATTTGCCAAATAAAGAGAGATGGTGAGGGGCAGAGAAAGATTTATTACATGAAACTGAACACACTGTGGGAAGAAGCAAAGTAAGCATTCAGCCTACCTTCAGCCATCTTCAGGGTACAGACATGAGTTTTACCTTTAAATAGATTAAAAAAAAAAAAGAAAGAAAAGAAAAAATAGAGCAGGGAGCAAAAGGTATGCATAATTGATCAGTCCCAATCACAGGTATAGCCTGGTTGGTCATGTTCATTATCTCAGTCCTGTAATTGGAGGGTTCAGTCCTGAGAAGTTGTTATCCTTGTCAGTACTTGATGGGAGCAATCTGGTTCTCAAGACATGATTAGTTCTGCAGGGTGCAGCCTCATCAATATAGGTAGTTGTTCTCATATGGGGTGTGATCTGTCCTGCAAAGCTCTGCTGTTTCTTACAGGTAGGTTCAGTCCCTTGTCATAAAGATGTTATGAATCATTTCTGTCCTTCTTGGCTTCCAAGGTGGTTACAGGAGAGAATGGCTCAGAGCAAAGGACGATAGGAACAAAATGGAAGTATAGATGCCAAGATTTTCTCCTGCTTTTAGTTAATTCATGAACCCTAAAAAGGAGTGAGTGCTTTTCAGCAAAAGCTGTTTAAGCACCACTTACACTACTAAACATGGGTAATTCTGTCTCTACAATGATATTTCTCTATTAATTTTAATTTCTCTCTTGGATTATCTTTAATATCCTCCTCTCCTCCAAAGATTTTTTTTTTCTTAAACCTTTCAAATATCTGACCTTTTATAAAACCGCTTTCCATTTATCCTGTCTTCATCTCCACACCCACTGTCCTTTCCTTTCACCAAGAAACAGTACCAAGGGTATTTCTTGAGGTATCCACTTTTTCCCCTCTGGTGTCTTGGCCCTTGAGTGCAACTGAAATGATTATGAAGAATGTAATCTCTCTCTTCAAAAATCATGGCTCAGTTTTCCAGTTAACTTCTCTTATGCAAAAATGTCCTTTGCTTGCAAGTTGCACTGCCCCAATTTCAGGTTTCCAGTAGAGGGTGGAAAGCATTGTTACTCAGCCTGAGGGTCCACAGAAATGCAAATTATCTGTTGGAGCAAAGGAAGCTTTAAACCTGCTACTAAAGATAGCACCTGGTGTCTCTACATTCTGGGAAGTAGTGGTAGAAAGAGGGGCTCCATCATGATGAAGGGGTTTGAGTACTCACTCAAGAATAAAGTACAGCAGAAATCCAAGTACTCTTTAATATTCCTCAGTCAATCGTCAAACTGAACCTTTCAAAGATTAGGAAAATTTTGTAGCTTTCCAGTGTTTGTTATTTTCAAATCAGTTCATAAATAGTTAGTGACAAATTCCTTTTTAAAAATATACCAGAAGCTGGGCACCATCGGCTCACACCTGTAATCCTAGCTACTCAGGAGGTAGAAATCAAGAGGATTGAGGCTCAAAGCAGCCTGGGCAAATAGTTCAAGAGACCTATCTTAAAAGCCCATCACAAAAAAGGACTGGTGGAGTGGCTCAAAGTGTAGGCTCTGAGTTCAAACCCTAGTCAAACCCCAGTACCACAAAAAAACAAAACAAAACAAAACAAAACCCAGCGAAAACAAGCAATAGGAGGAAGCAGGAAAAGCATCTTTCTTACACTTTGGATATCTATGGGAGAAGTGGGAGCAGTGAAGAAGAAACTCAAAAAAAAAAACCAAAAACCCTGAGACTGTTTTTTTACATTATTTTAAGTAGGGGTGTTAAGACAGAGGCAAGTGGCCAATGGAGGAAAGAGTGGCAGAGTAAACTGGGCCTGCAGGGTCCCTAGTGCTTAACAATAGTTGCTCTCTGGTGGTTTCAGGGTTGGCTGTGCCCCACTCTCTGAATATGCAAATACATTCCCCTGCACTCTACCTTAAAGACAGCCCAGTTTCCTGGCTCTCCCCCTCTAGAGAAAATGATTTCTGCCTTAGTGTATATGTGGGACTTTACATCCTCTGCCTCCTGGGGTAGGTGTGTGATCTTCTCACAGGGGTCTGGATCATGTCTGGGCATGATGTGTCTTCACGTGTCTTTAACTATGAAGATGCACGCACTCTAAAGAAAAATTAATATTCATTAATCCTTTTTTTCCATTCTTGGAAGAATTTGACTTCCAACAATGAAAAATCAGCATCAGTAATATTAGGAGGTAATTAGGGAAAGATGGTATTAGATGTTCAGTGTGGAAAAATAAGGTCAGCTATGGAAGAGCAGAGTAGAGGTTTTTGCCATGTAGCCTCCAAAGAGAGGAAGGCCTCAAATG